AGTCCACATGACTATGCCAGCCCAGGATCTGCAAAACTGTCACTCATTTACGCATGCTTACATGCCGCAGTTTCTTTTTTTCCCCCCTGCCTGGATGCTGCTGACATGAGGGTTAAGAGCCCACTGCCCCATCCTGTGCTGTCATTAATGTTTTTGACAAGAAAGCACTGTCCATATTTTTGGATATGTATGCATACAGGAGCAATGTAAAATAATACATGACCACTTAAAATTAATTACTATAATAAATACACAAATATGCAAATAAATTAATTGCCATAATGAATATGCAAATGTTTCAGTGCGAGTCTGCTCAAAGTTTTTGAATGAGTTTGCCACTCTGTGCTATAAAAAAGGTTGGGAACCACTGTTCTAGTCCATCTGTTGTCTCTTATTAACATCCCCAGTTAGGCAGAGAAACCTCTTAATTTGAAACAAATGAACAAAAACGCTTTCATTCACACATTTAAAACCCATAAAGCGTTCTCTACTCCATATGTCTAAATTTTTTACACACATGAATGATACAGACACGCAAATCAAATAAAGAGACCCAGCAGATTAAGACATGACGATTGACAGGTTACATGCATTTGCTCAAAGCACCTTTGAGTTATGTACATTCATGTCCAGAAGTCCATTTCATAAAGTGTGTGTGTGTGGGGGGGGGGAAACCCATCACAGTAAGTTTTTTAAATCCCTCAAAGTTGCATCTGCCAACCTCCTTTATGATCAGCCTTGTGCTTTCCTTCCTTCAAGCTCTGCTTCCTCAGTCTCCTCTAAAATCCTACCTTTTGCTGCATGCTGGAGAGAGACTGCCATTGCAGATGTCTTGCTTTCGACTGATATAAGCCTGCAAGTTGCTGAGCTAGTCCCGGTATCTTCTTGTTTGTGATACAGTGAAACTGATGAATCTTAAGAGTACGCCATAGTTTTTTTAATATTGAGTACTGTTTGGTTTCCTTTCCTAAAATGTTTTTAACAGCCATGTAGGAAGCCAAACACACAAAACAGTTACAATATTAAGTCTAAATTGAAACTGATTACAAATGTTAGAACTAGCTAACCATGTAACAGTTTACATAGGGCAGAGTCAGGAGGCTATGCTTAGGGGCGGGGGAGGAAAAGAGAGAGAGAGAGAGAGAGACTGACCTCACCACTCAGTGGTGCTTGCACTGATCGGGGTTCCCAGATGGTGATGGAAGCTGGGGGTCCAGAGGGCAGGAGACAAGCAGAGTAGATCTCCCAGCATGATCAGATCGGAGATGTAGACGTGTCAATGGAACTGATGCAGTTTAAATCCAGGTATCAGAATAGTTTTTCTTGGGCAAAGCTAGGGGTTTTTCTAGGAATAGGATAATAGTTTGAAGAGAACACTGGATTTGTTTATGGGTAAACAGAGGCAAGACAATAGAGGCTAATCACACCTGATTATGGGCGATGTTCCTTGAATGAGCTCACAATGCAACTAGGCCAGTGGTCTCCAACATTTTTAGACTCAAGATCACTTTTTAAATGACAGAACAAGCCAAGATCTACCGCCCCGCCGCTTCCTTGAAGCCCCGCCGCTTCCTTGAAGCTTCGCCCTCTCTATTCTCTTCCTCTCCATCACTTGCTGTCCCCAACCCTTATACTGCTGCTTTTTCCCCCAATTCTTCTGTAGGAAGAGGTTTTCCAACATTTGGCCTGTCTAGACTGGATCAAATGTCAGAAAAACCCCTTCTTTTGGAAGCCCCCTTATTCCTTGTGGAAAGAGGAAAATAGGGGGTGACCAAAAGATCATGTTTGCTCTTCCACTAAAAGAAGTGGAAGAATAAAAGCATCCGCTAAAAAAAGCGGAAGAACAAACACATTGCTGGATGCAGAAGAGTTTTTCTGGGATCCTGGAAAAAAACTCCTGCAGTCTAGCTGTACCCTCACTGGGTTGAGACAGGAGGTGCAGGCTCTGGGGTGGGATTTGGGTGTGGGTAGGCGAGAGAGGTGCAAGCTCTGGGAGGGATGCAGGAGGAGGTGGAGAAGGGTATGCTGGCTCGGGGAGGAGGCTCCAGGCCGGGCAGTGTTGGGTTCAGATGTAGGGTTAGGGTACTAAGCCACCACAGATTTCTGGATGTGAGACAGGAATTTGGGTTGGGGTATGTGAGAGGCTCAGGGCAGGGGGTTCCAGTGGCTCAGATGTAGGGCCTGGGGGAAAGAGGAGTGCAGGAGTGTTATGATGCTGTGGCCAGATGGAGGCTTGGCCCCAATTGGGGGTTTGTTGGCTAGGCTTCATTTTTAAATAAAATCTATGTCAAACACAAAAAGTTTCTGAATTGTCTTTATTTTTGAGAAGGGCAGGGAACCTGTTTTGAGTCAGGGGATCACTGACCCACAGAAAAGACAGTTGGGGCCACACAAGTGAGATGCAAAAAAACCCTCTTCCAACCCCCCTCACCCTCAAGCTTCACTAATGTGGCCCCAGCTGTGTTGGTGAGAGTAGGGGACATAGTACTGGGGAAGGGTGCTAGTGGGTGCTTCGGCAGGGGACAGGGTGCCCGTGGGGACAGAGTTCTGTGGCTGGGGCAGGGGAGAGGGAACAGGGTGCTGGGAGTGGAGAGGACAGGTTACTGCAGCAGGGAACAGAGTGCCAGTGGGGACAGGTTTCTGCAGCTGGGGACAGGGTGCTGCTGGGGACAGTGTTCTGTGGCTCGGGATGGGAACCTGTTTTGAGTCAGGGGATCACTGACCCACAGAAAAGACAGTTGGGGCCACACAAGTGAGATGCAAAAAAACCCTCTTCCAACCCCCCTCACCCTAGATGATTTGATGGAGGTGCCCTGGATCATAGAAAGAGAGATGTGCAGATTACAGGGGAAATGTTGCTATCAATAGTATCTCCAATATTATATTTATTTTCTACACTGCATTGTGACTTGGCTGGGGAGTGGGAACAGGTGGCAGGGAATGGGGCACAGGGAGGGCAGGAGGCCGGGCAGGCCAGAGGGGCGGGGTGCCAGTAGGGGCAAGGAGTCTCCTGCATTTCTCCCCACCCCCCCGAGATTCCTCTCCCCCAGGGAAGCCAACGTGTGCCTCTTCCGGGCCCAACTCCCCCCTCCCGCGGCGCAGGGAAACCCCCGCACAGCCGCCATGCTCTGCCAGTAGGGGCAAGGAGTCTCCTGCATTTCTCCCCACCCCCCCGAGATTCCTCTCCCCCAGGGAAGCCAACGTGTGCCTCTTCCGGGCCCAACTCCCCCCTCCCGCGGCGCAGGGAAACCCCCGCACAGCCGCCATGCTCCTCCTCCGGGGCCGAGGCCCCCTCCCGCAGCACGCCCGGCACGCCACAGAACTGTGGGAGTGGAGCAGCTAGTGCACTTCCAGGACCCCCGGAAGTGGCGCGAAGCTGCAGGACTTCCGTCCACCCTGCGGGAAGCCAGCACTACCTCCATTGTCACTGGAGGTAGGTAGTGGGGCTTCTCAGTGGTGGGGGGAAAATGGAGGGGGGGGGCGACTGCCTCGTGATCAACTGGTCAAGGCCTCGCGATCGACCTGTTGGTTACCACGGAACTAGGCAGTTTCAATATTTTGGATGTCAATAGGATCCATTACTAGAATTGGTCTGATAATGGCTAATTTGGGTGTGAGCAGTCCTGGGTTCATTAGCATCTGGAGCAGAGATATCCCATCAGGCAGTGCTTCTCTGCTTTCGGTATCCCATAGTTCAGTGCGGTTCCTGCTTTGGAAGAGCTGGTCTCCATTCTGTATGCTAATGGAGATGTCTCTCTGTGCTATCTTCCATGCAGATGAGGCTGGGGTGTTTCCTTAATTCTAATACCCTTGTCTGAAGCAGTTTAGGTGTGTCTTCCCCAGCCTTTTCATTGCTTTGTCTTTGATTCTAGCAGAGGCCTACGAGAGGGGGATGGTTTTCCATGAGTTTCACTCCCTGGCTTCCCAAGAGCACAGGGCTGGTAGGTAACAATAGATAAAGCTCGCCAAGTGGCAGCGAGTCCCGTGGTTCTGTGAGCTGCGCATGCACAGATCACACAGCGCCAGCTGTGCTGGCTTGTAATCTACTCACCCCAGGTCAGTAGATTACATGATTTGTCAAGCCCTTACAATAGACATCTATCAGGGATGGTTAGATGGTACTGGGTCCTGCCGTGTGGGCAGGGGACTGGACTCGATGACCTCTTGAGGTCCCTTTCAGTTCTAGTGTTCTATGATTCTATGAAAAACCTATATTGACATATTTAGGATAAACTGTTGGTGGCCAACTTTGAGAAACACTGCATTACAACATCGGGTAGTTGGTTTAAAAAAGAGGGGAGGCCGGGGGAGAATACTGGCAAGGTGTAATCTAGTGTGAGAATAAATGACTAGCCAAAGTACTTTCTGTTCCTTCTGTATGGATGCATATGTGACATAATGAGGTGAAAATTTCAAACCTGTGTACATAAAACTAGACCCCTAAATCTGTATTTAGCTATCTAAATGACTTGATTTGCAATGTGCTGAGCACTTACAGCTCCCCCTGAAATAGATAAATAATAAAATATGGTTTGGGGAGTTTAATTTTGGACAAAACATTTGTCCTAGACTTATTTATAACAAGATAGAATTGTACAAGTCAAGTGTTAAGAAGTGGGCTATTGATTTAAATAGGACTAGGACCAGGGCTTGTTTTAGGTTGCCCTTTAAAATGTCAACTTGGTTTAAAAAAATGGATATTTTCCTACCATTCTATTATTTTCAGGTTGTTATTTTTTTTTTTTTTTTTTGCAAGAGGCTGTATGGGCAATTCAGATCTGTTCATTTTTTAAACCGCCATTAATTGATAATATTTGGATCACATTGTTCCTGTCTTTATTTTCTATCTTAAATTACTTTGTTCTGATGATATGTACTGTTAAATACTTAAGTTAGAACCCTGCAACTCTTTATAACTATTGTGTTGGTGAAGGGATGCCTTTAAAATGTAAAGCTTGTCAAGTCAGCATGAAAGAGGAATGCTTGTTTCTTTTTTCCAGGGGCAATTTTTGATGAATCTGCCAAAAAGGATGAAGAGGTGTTTCGTATGGCAGTTGCTGACCTCAACCAGAATGATGAAATTTTACAAACAGAGAAAATCACATGTTCTGTGACATTTGTGGATGGCAATAATCCATTTCAGGCAGTTCAAGAAGGTAGGATTTCTAAATTTAAGATTATTTTCTGGTTTTGTTTCTATGTGGACATAAAAGTCTGTATAAAAACTACCTTAATAGTAAATTGTACAAGTGTTCGCTACCGGCCTTTATGCAGAACTTGTGGGTTGCTGATACAGGCAGTCCCCGGGTTACGTACAAGATAGGGACTGTAGGTTTGTTCTTAAGTTGAATTTGTATGTAAGTCGGAACTGGTACATATTGCAGGGGAAACTCTAGCCAAACATTTCTCCAGAGCTCAGTTTTATTCTCCCACACCTCACTTCCCTCAGTCCTTTATTCTCAAGCTGAGGAGTCTGCTGAGAAAAGCCGCTTCGCGTCTCCGTGGTCTGCTGGGGGAAAGCAGCTAGTGCGGGGCTGCCTCACCCCGTTTGTAAGTAGGGATCCGATGTAAGTCGGATCCATGTAACCCGGGGACTGCCTGTATTTCTATGTTGAGTGATTTTATTGTTTGAAAGGAATGATGTTGTACAATAGCACTGAATGGAAATTCACTTTGAATATGAACAACACTGATGCAGTTTGTTCTGAAGTATGGCTAAATATGAATATGGAATCTGAAAAACTGTAAATCTTGCTTTGAGTAATGTTTCTTAGCAAGGTTTCTTGTAGCAAAGGTAAAGAGGAGTCTGTCACAGTCTGTCTTAACATAGCTCCTCTTGAATTGTGCTAGATGCTTTCAGTGTTCATACAAGCAGAAGGGCCTTCTTTCACTACTTCTTACTACTGCTTATTGATACTGTCACCTACCAAAATCATAAATTGTGTTGAGAATAATCTCATTGTGGAAAATCAAGATTATGTCAATAAATGATTACTGGTATTTGTGAAATTTTTCACCAACAACTTCACTAAAATTCAGCAATTCAGCATTTTACTGTGTTTTTCAGGGAATAGTCAGAAGCCATGTAATTAGCAGCATTAGGATATAATGCATTGGACAAGCTAAGCTATTCAATTTTGAAAATAGTGTGGATTAAGAAATCCCACAGAAATTAAAACTGAAAATAGCAGATACATTCAAAATTCAGTAGAATGTATAAGGAATGCAGCTTTTTTCCAGGTCACAGTTGCATTGTCACATGTAAACGGTGCTGTAATAGGTTCAGGCTTGATACAACTAGTTGCATTTCTATCTGACAATAAAGATCATCAACCATAACATCAAGATGACAGAAATTTCATGGAAATATTTTTTTAAGCTCTGTGACTGTTGATGAGCTTAAACTTTCTCTCTGTATATGAAGCATGAATGCCTAAAAGTTGTGTGTGTCAAAATAAACAATTAATTACTTATGGTTTGATGCTGAATTGCTCACTTTTGGATAGCAGTACTGTTTTTCACTCTTGGAAAATGTCTCTGCAATAGATTTGAAATCTGTATAGAGTGGATTTGACAGAAATGATCTGTGAACTGAAATAATCTTAATCACGGGGTTGGATTATGTCTATCACATTGAAATCACACACAAGAAAAGATTTGCTAATTAGAAACCTTTTTTCTGTGAATTTGTGACTGGAGACAGACAAATAGAAAAGTTCATTTTTCTAACAGAACCTAAATTATCTGTAATTGTTGGACTTAAACTGCCCTGAATTTTGTTGCTTTGGGTCATGGTATCTGGGGAGGGAAAAAATAGGTGGGTTTTGGTTGATGGTTATACATAGCTCCATGGACTTTTTCCAAGTTCCGTGGCTTTTTTTTTCTTTTTTTAACTCGAGGATGTGTTTACACCACTGCTGTATCCAGCTTGTAATAACATATCTGTGCAAAACTCTGGCTTTGGTGCATGTGGTGTTTGGAGTTAATGGCCTTTGTTTTTCCATCTTTCCCACCAGTTTTAAACCAATGTGACTCCATTCTAGCTGTTACACTAGATTAGCATCAATGTTAGCTAGCAGCGTGGGGATCTAGGCTCCCTACCTTTCTTGGTTTTAAATGAACTCTAAAATTCAAAGCAATGTTATTCTGAATTCCCTGCAGTTTGTCTTCTTTTGGTTAATGAGAACTTTTCACATACTTTTGAGTTCTTGGAAATACACTGTAAAATTACAAGGCTGATAGCTTTCTCTTCATATTCTGCAAATTGTCCTGTATGTTTACAGCGCTTTTCATAACAATAATCTTCAATTGGCCCCTTTTGCTCAAAACACAGCACTAGTTCACTAAATAGTGAATCTTGTTGGCAAACTCATTGTAGATTTTGGGTTTGGAATAAAACACTATCAGATTAAAGCTCTGACAAACAAGGTAACTTGACACTAAAAAATTGACGAATATCTCTTAAATGTCCGTAAACCATTGATGAACAGCATATAATATTTCTAATTAATGCACATCAGCCCTAAGATGTTTTGTGTCTAGCTTTAGGAACTAGGGGTCACCAAATGAAATTAATAGGTAGCAGGTTTAAAACAAACAAAATGAAGTGTTTGCACACGCACACACACACGGCCTATAGAACTCCTTGCCAGAGGATGTTGTGAAGACCAGGACTTTTACAGGGTTCAAAAAGAACTAGATAAATTCATGGAGGTTAGGTCCATCAATGGCCATTGGCCGGGATGGGTAGGAATGGTTTTCCTAGTCTCTGTTTGTCAGAGGCTGGAAATGGATGACAGGAGAAGGATCACTTGATGATTACCTGTTCTGTTCATTCCCTCTGGGGTATCTGGCATTGACCACTGTCGGCAGACAGGATACTGGGCTAGATGGACCTTTGGCCTGACCCAGTATGGCCGTTCTTATTGTGGAAGCAGGAAAAAGGAGATTTGCATTCAACCGTCTTAGGCCTGTTAAAAGTGGAGCAAAAAGACAGGCTAACCCTAACCTAGCTGTCTCTGCGTTGCTTTAGAAGATAAGGATGGAATGCTGACTTAAGCAGGAACCTTGAGATAAGGTAGCATCTAGAAGCAAAGAAATAACTGTTAGCCATTGCTTCATATAACGGGAAAGTATATATATTTGTCTTTTACTGCTTGTACTTTGAAGATCTGCTTAAGGAAGGGGGACCCCCTATCTGACCACAGTCTTCCCTTGCAATTACTCGAACAAACTGCCTCTGATTTGTTGCTTAGAAACTCAGAGTGAGAACTTGTTTTCTTCCACATTATAGACAAAGTTTGGTTATTTCACACTCTACATTTGTACTGTACCAAATGGTCATTCTTTCAACATGCTTTGACATATTGTGGTGCCTTGTGACTCCATCCATTTGAATGGAATGATTCCGTGTAGACGGAAATTCCAGCAGAGAGATCCATCAGATACACTATCATCTCTCTGTGGATACTCCCATAGTGAGACTCAGATTCTATATGTAGAATTATAAACACAAGAATGTTTATTCAAACTGCAGCCTGATTAAACATCTGTAAGTGTGTCATAATAATGTATGTTCTGGATATTCGGTTCTAATAAACTCGACATTGGTATAGTCTTATCTTCTGTCTATTTTATAAAAGTGGTGCAAAATCTCTATTTTATAGACAGTACTAAACTATGAGATAATACTTTTCTCTTGGTTATGGTTACTTAAGTATGTTGAATGTGTTCATGAGAGGAGGCCTGAAAGAATAATGGATCTGACCTTTTATGCTGTGGTGCTATAAAGGAAAGTACCACACCTATTATTATCTCTATAACAACAAAGCAGGAGAGAATGGATCTCTAGTCCTCTTGTGTTGAAACCTCACATTTTAAGCATTGTCAGATTCAATGAATTAAGATACCAGGTTGCTGTTAGTCAAATAGATTCCCTTCCTGAGAAACTTCAGTTCATGATATTCCTTCATTGTATTTGCAATAGGACTTTTAAAGTATTTGAGCTCTAAAGTACACTTGGGAGCGATTTTTTTTCTGAAACAGATGAGGTTCTAAAACTTGTAAAATTGGATTTTTTCATTGAATTAGTCACTTGATCAAAGTACAAGTAAACAGTCATTTCTTGCCTCTTAGGAATCCATCTCTGCTGTGCTTTTAACTTTCTTTTGCTTGCTTACAATACCCTTTCCCTGATTTCCCCCTGTTTTAGGGCTCAAATCCCTCAAAAATTCCCAGATTTTTTCCTCTAGAGCAGTGGGTCCCAACCTTTTTTTATACCATGAACAGGCAAACTCATTCACAAACTTTTGATGGACAGAGAACATTTTATTTGCATATTATTATGTAAATAATTAATACGCAAATATGCAAATAAAATGTTTCCTGTCCATCTCTCCACCACCCAGCCCCTTGCTCCCCAGTGCCTAATACCCTTTGACCTCCACCCCTATGCCCCGTGACCTTTGATCATTTAACCTCTGATCCCTACAGCCCATGCCAACATCCTCTTGCCCCATGACCCCACCACACCCTCAACACCCCTTTGCCCTCCCCTCCCGCACTCCCCAGAGCAAGGGTGGCCTCCTAGGGAGCATGGCTGTTACTGCTACACAAGCAGAGAAAGTGGCCCTTGGTGATGCACACGCTCCCTCCTCCTTCATGCCCCATCCGTCCCTGAGTGCTTCTTGTGCCCCCAGGGGTAGAGGGGGCAGGGCGGCCTGGTCCCTGCTGAGGTCCAGGTGGCAGGTGTATAGCTTCATCAGCCATGGCATGAGGAGTAGGCCACATCCCCCATGATGCACAGTGGCATCTATGTTATACCAAATAAAAGCAAGCAGGATCTTATGAGGGGGATAAGGCAAAAAGCCACATTTATTGTAAAGATAATAATAAAAAATAAAGATGTTGTTCAACTACTTAACCCTTATACATATAAACATTCATTCATCCATTTATTCAGGTTCTGTGTATTTGTTATAGTTACCAGCCTGGAAGTTGCTTGTGACAGAAAAATGGCCAGGTATTCTGTACACAAGTGATGGTAGTGGGGAGCGAAGTCCTGATCAGATGCGCATCTGAAGCTCCCGGTAGGCTGGCAGCAGAACCTTGGACTCTGATTCCATAGTTTTTTAGTCCAGTTCTTATAGGAATTTCT